CGGTGACATCAGCTGTGCGGACCAGCACTCCGTGATCGGTGATCGCGCGCGATGCCTTCACATCTCTGGGCCCTGTACTGGGAATGCCATTCCTGGAAGCTGTTGTTCTGGAAGGCTCTGGGGCTTAGATCAGGGGTCGGCCTACCTTCTCTGTAAAGGGCCTGGCTTCAGGCCAGTCTGTGTCACATCTATTCAGCTCTGCCTTAGTAGCAGGAAAGTTGCTGCCGACACAGGTTAAATGAATGGGCCAATAAAACTTTATTTGTGGACACTGAACTGCGAATTTCTTGTCATTTTCATTTGTTGCAAAGTAGTATTTTTCTTGTGACTTTTTTCAAACGTGAAAAAAATGTACAAACCACTCCGAGCTTTGTGAGCCCTTGCAAAGGCAGGAGGCAGGCCTGGATTTGGCCCACGAGCTGAAGTTTGCAGACCCTACTTAGCTGATTGTCTTTGATCAGCCTGCAGGGGTGAGGGGTTTTCCGGGCCTGGGGACCCACAGCCCTGGCGGTGTGCGTGGCGGTCGGTGTGCGTGGGTGTTTCCATCTGCCTGTCCCCGCCCCTGTCCCCTCCCCCCCCCCCCCTCCGACAGCGGTCCTGCAGGGTGAGTACCTGGGACAGAAGGTGGCCGTGAAGAACGTCAAGTGCGATGTGACGGCCCAGGCCTTCCTGGACGAGACGGCGGTCATGACGTGAGTCCCGGGTGGGGGGCGGGCCCCCTGGGAGGGAGGGGCCCAGGCGCACCCTCACGGCCCGCCTGCCGCCCCCAGGAAGATCCAGCACAAGAACCTGGTGCGTCTGCTGGGCGTGATCCTGCACCAGGGACTCTACATCGTCATGGAGCACGTGAGCAAGGTGGGGGTGGGGCCCGGCGCGGGATCAGGGTCTGGGGGGGGGAGGGGGCACCTGAGCAGCCTCGAGCCGCCCAGGCCCACTTCCCTTCCCCACAGGGCAACCTGGTGAACTTTCTACGGACACGAGGCCGGGCCCTCGTGAGCACGCCCCAGCTACTGCGGTTTTCCTTGTGAGTGGGACTCCCCGGGAGGGGCGGGGAGGGGGCTTTCTAAGGTCGTGGGAGGAGCCTGGCCTTGGGAATCTGTGCTCCGGTCGCCGAGCACCCCCCAGCCCCACGCCGCCCCCCCCCCCCCGTGCTCTGCCCCCCGCCCAGGCACGTGGCTGAGGGCATGGAGTACCTGGAGAGCAAGAAGCTGGTGCACCGAGACCTTGCCGCCCGCAACATCCTCATTTCCGAGGACCTGGTGGCCAAGGTCAGTGACTTTGGCCTGGCCAAAGCCGAGCGGAAGGGGCTGGACTCAAGCCGGCTGCCGGTCAAATGGACGGCGCCCGAGGCTCTCAAACACGGGGTGAGCCCCCCTCCACCCTGGGACCCTTCCTCGTGTGGCCCCATCTGGGCCTCAGTGTCCCCATTTCTGAAACAGACTTGGGTTCAGTGCCGAGGACCAGAACAAGGACTGCTTCCCCCACTGAGTCTGAGTTCTGCTCAGTGGGGGGGGGGCGGGGGGGAGACTCAGAGGGGTCAGTCTATCGGGAGGAGACCAGAGAGGGAAGGTCAGCCCAGGGGGACTTCCTGGAGGAAGCAGGGGCTGTAACAGAAGCCATTAGGGCTCCCTCCTCACCCTGGTCCTGGGCCCCACAGAAGTTCTCCAGCAAGTCGGATGTCTGGAGTTTCGGGGTGCTTCTTTGGGAGGTTTTCTCATACGGCCGGGCTCCATACCCCAAGATGGTGAGTGGGGTCTGGGGGGGAGGCGCTGGGTCCCCTGTGAGTCTGGGGACCATGGCCCTGACCCCAGCCGTGCTGGCGTGCCCTCTGCCCACAGTCGCTGAAGGAGGTGTCAGAGGCCGTGGAGAAGGGGTACCGCATGGAGCCCCCCGAGGGCTGCCCGGGCCCCATCCACGCCCTCATGGGCAGCTGCTGGGAGGCTGAGCCTGCCCGCCGGCCGCCCTTCCGGAAACTGGCAGAGAAGCTGGCCCGGGAGCTGCGCAGCGCGGGGGCCTCGGCCCCGGTGGGCGGCCAGGACACGGACAGTTCCTCCTCGCCCCGAGGCCAGGAGCCCTGACCCTGCCCCGTGGGGCCTCGGGCCCCAGAGGACAGAGTGGAGGGTGCGGGGTCCGGGGAAGGGGCCAGGCCCGAGAAGGGTCAGGGCCAGCGAGCTGCTCATGTGGCCCAGGTGGGGGGCTCTGGGCAGCCCGTGGACACCAGGGACCCGGGGAGGCGAGGGATTAGCGCCTCCATAAAGACTGGTTCCAAGGACTGCGGGTGTCTGAGTCTCTCTGCGACCCTCGGCGTCCTTCGCCCCAGGGGTTAACACCAGGGCACCCCCGTCACTCAGCCCAGGGCCATCCGCCAGCAGTCGTCTGCCTGCTGCTGAGGCCCCCACCGCCGCCGTTGGGGACACAGATCCCCAGGGGTGGGGCCAGGAGAGCCCCCGGGCATCACGGCCACCCCATGGGCCCACTTGTTACCACCCACGGTCCCCGCTGTGGTGCCCTCACAGCTGCCGTATTCGACCCTTGGGGTCCCCGGCCCAGAGGACCTCGGGAGGCTGCCTGCGGCCACAGAGGCCCACGTTCCACATAGTCTGTGCCTCCTCTGCGCCAGCCTTGCCCCTCAGGGCGGGCACACGGGAGCCCGGGGAGGGTCTGCCACGGCGGTGCAGCCGCCAGCCTGACCCAGTGACTCCAGAGGAGACTGACGGGAAGATGCAGGGGTGGGGGCTCTGGGCTCGCACCCCCAAGTTCCAAGCCTGGCACCCCTGGCTGTGTGGCCCTGACCCGCCGTGATGAAGTGTCTTGAACTGAGGACAGACGCTCCAGGGATAGGGGACATTAGTGCTAAACCCGGAGCCTCTGGGCAACCCCCCCCTCCCCGGTCCCAGCAGCCTCCTCTGTGATCAGGCGTCTTTTCGGGGTGATGGGTGGGGGCCTGAAGACTCACACCGGTCAAGGCTCCGTGCACACAGCCGGTGCCCAGTTATTACTGGGACTGTCCGTCACCCCTTCTCATCGATGTTTCCAGCCAGCTTCTAGGATGCCCGGAGGGGTCTCCGGCCAGGCTGGGGTGGCCGTCGCCCCAGGACCCCTCAAACCGGAGAGGGCAAACCAGACCAAACACACCCTCCCGCTTTGGCTGACCCACCGCTCTTGAGCACGGCCTGAGCCAGGGACTTCCCCAAGGTCACACTGACCTCCTACGGCGCCCCTCCCCCCCCCCCCGAGGTCCCACCCACCCTCCAGCCTCATTTTCCCCACCAGCACCTGAAGGGGCCCAGGGATTTTTCCTGGGGGAGAAATGACGGGTGGGAGGCTGGTGGGGCTGACAGTGGCCTGACCCCCACCTAATCCAGCCGGAGGGGACGCCCGGCCCCGCCCCTCCCCGCCCCTAATCCCGCTCTCTAAGCTGACACAGCGTCTGCACCTCCTGCCCATCCGCTAAGCCACCAAAGTCCCCTGCGCCTAACTCCCGATCCCTCCTGCAGCCTCTTAACCCACCTGGGGCCAATTAGCTAATTGGGGCCTGAGAACAGAGCAGCTCGTTAGTGATGAGGCAATTAGGGCATTAGGGACCCCCCCCCCCGCCCCACTCTGTGCTGCAGGCCTCGCGCCCCTGTCCCCAGGCCCGCCCCACACACGGGGCAGCTGAGCCCGGACGGGCCCCCAGGGAGCCTCGGGGAGCACCGGCCACCCCGGGGCCCGGGCTCACCCGCCTCTCGGGCGCTCGGGCCTGGGTCTCCCGCCTCGCCCCCCAGACAACCTCTGTCCTGTCCTCCGTGGCGCTGAATCCACCAGACGTTGTCTTGGCCTCACCGCTGCCCCCCCCTCCCCCCGCCCCCGTCTCCCCTCCTCTCGGGCGCCGAGCTCCTTGGGTGGGGGTGGACAAACCAGTCTCAGGGTCTTTCCCCTGGAACCTGCTCCAGCTCTTGGACCACTGCCTCTGGGACAACCTTGTCATCTACCTGTCCCCAAAACTGGGCCCTGGGGAGAGCCGCCTCCTCCCTCTTCCTCCAACTCTCTCCCCCAGGGTTGTTCCCCTCCCCCAACTTCCATCCCCACAGCCAGACCAGGCCTCCCATCTTGCCCCCAAGAGATATTCATCCAAAATGCCATCTGACTGCGTCCCTCCCCTGCTCCACAAACTCCCGTGGCTCCCCAGTACCCTCTCCACACACACACTTGGGTCCAGCATTTTAGCCTTGCACTTCATCGCTCTGATTACTTTCCGTGAAAGAGCAGCCCACCCTCTGTCCCCCCTTCCCTCCCCTGCTTGAGTTGTCTCACTAGGCTTAGAACCACCTGACGCTGTATTATGTCTCCTGGTTGGCTATCTCCCCGACTAGCGTGTCAGCTCCGAGGTTTGTGTCTGTTTCGTTCACTGCTGTGAACACTACCTGGTATACTGTAAGCGCTCAACCATGTTTACTGAATGAAGAACGGACTTCTATTCATTCCCCCAAACCCAGCGAAGTGCCCCCTACTCCCCGGCCGGCTCGGTGTCCGGGGGAGCCGACAGGAACCGCCTTCACTTCACTTCTCTGAACCACGGCTTCCCCAACCCCCGCCAACCTCCAACCCCCACCAACCTCTAACCCCCGCCAATCTCCAACCCCCGCCAACCTCTGTGTCTAAGAGGACCTTTTTCTAGCCCCAGCTGCTGAGAACAGTGACAGTGGGCGTTCATCGAGCACTTCCTGAATGCCAACCACTGTGCAATGCTCTCTGCTTTCATCACCTTGTTGCCCCACCAGGGCAGGTCCTGGTGTCACCGTTCTACAGCTAGGGAAACTGAGGCCCAGAGAGGGGAGGCCCTTGTTGGTGTCCTACCGTGAAGGGAGGCAGACCCAGGCCGATGGTCCCCCCCCCCCATGCACACACCCCTCTGGAGCCGCAGCCTTCCTCCCCCCCCCCCCCACGCCCTCCCTCTGCAGCTCAGAGCAGCCAGGGC